TTTACATATACCTGCTTTAACACAACTGCCATATGGACATTTGAGTGTATTTTTAATAAACATCTCATGGATCTAAACACAAACGAACACGTGAAAATTCTAGAAACAAATTCTAGAAAAAAAGAGCAATGTAAACAGATAGGAGTTTTAATTGGTTCTTTGCAAAGCACTCTGTTCGCAATTTAGGTATTTGTGTTATGACCTCCTTACTAATATGTCATCTCTAGGAGAAAGAATATTCTATCAATGCCTTAGACCTCAGGGATTTCATAAGTGAACTTCATCAAAAACCTACAGCCAGCAGTGTGTATACAGAAGTTTAAAAAAAGAAAATTATTTGAATAAAACATCTCTCTGTAAAATATCTAATATACCACAGAAATCGCAGCAGGAAAAAGTCTATGTTGCAATGAATTATGCTCTCTTATTTTTCCTGCCCATCTTAACTCTTTTAGAACCCGATAGCAGAAATATGAATCATATATTGCAACTTTTACTTATTTCATAGGATTATGATATACAGTATCTCACAGAAGTGTGTACACTTGACATGCCCTATAGTTCGACAGTAACCCCTTCTACCTAAGATATAATAAAATAAAAATATTTTATTATATCTTTTCATGTGATAACACTAAAGACATGACACTCTGCTACAATATAAAGTAGTAAGTGTACAGCTTGTATAACAGTGTAAATTTGCTGTCCCCTCAAAATAACTCAACACACAACCATTAATGTCTAAACCACTGGCAACAAAAGTGAGTACACCCCTAAGTTGAAATGTCCAAATTTGGCCCAAAGTGTCAATATTTTGGGTGGCCACCATTATTTTTCAGCACTGCCTTAACTATCATGGGCATGGAGTTTACCAGTTTGCCACTGGAGTCCTCTTCCACTCCTCCATAATGACATCAAGGACCTGGTGGATGTTAGAGATTTTGCGCTCCCCCACCTTCCATTTGAGGATGCACCAAAGATGCTCAATAGGGTTTAGGTCAAAGAGGCATGCTTGCCAATCCATCACCTTTACCTTCAGCTTCTTTAGCAAGGCAGTGGTCATCTGGAGATGTGTTTGACCAACCAACATGTTTGACTGTAGGCAAGGCACACTTGCCTTTGTACTTCTAACCTGGTTGCCGCCACACACGCTTGACACCATCTGAACCAAATAAGTTTATCTTGGTCTCATCGGACCACAGGGCATGGTTGCAGTAATCCATGTCCTTAGTCTGCTTGTCTTCAGCAGACTGTTTGCGAGCTTTCTTGTGCATCATCTTTAGAAGAGGCTTACTTCTGGGAAGACAGCCATGCAGATCAATTTGATGCATTGTGCGGTGTATGGTCTGAGCAATGACCGTCTGAAACTCCATCTGTTCAATCTCTGCAGCAATGCTAGCAGCACTCATACGTTTATTTCCCAAAGACAACCTCTAGATATGACGCTGGGCACATGCACGCAACTTCTTTGGTTGACCATGGCGAGGCCTGTTCTGAGTGGAACCTGTCCTGTGAAACCGTATGTATGGTCTTGCCCACCGTGCTGCAGCTCAGTTTCAGGGTCTTGGCAATCTTTGTATAGCCTAGGCCATCTTTATGTAGAGCAACAATTCTTTTTTTCAGATCCTCAGAGAGTTCTTTGCCATAAGCGATAACACCAAATTTAACTCACCTGCTCTGCATTCACACCTGAGACCTTGTAACACTACCGAGTCACATGACACAGGGGAGGGAAAATGGCTAATTGGGCCCAATTTGGACATTTCCACTTGGGGGTGTACTCACTTTTGTTGTTAACGGTTTAGACATTAATGTCTAATTAATGTGTATTGAGTTATTTTGAGGGGACATCAAATTTACACTGTTATACAGGCTGCACACTTACTACTTTACATGGTAGCATTTCTTCAGTGTAGTCACATGAAAAGATATAATAAAATATCTACAAAAATGTGAGGGGTGTACTCACTTTTGTGAGATACTGTATATATATATTTATACATATATATATATATATATATATATACAGTGAGAAAAAAAAGTATTTGATCCCTTGCTGATTTTAAACGTTTGCCCACTGACAAATAAATTATCAGTCTATAATTTTTAATGGTAGGTGTATTTTAACAGCGAGAGACAGAATAACAAAAAACAAAATCCAGAAAAACAGATGTCAAAAAAATTATAAATTGATTTGCATGTCAATGAGTAAAATAAGTATTTTACCCCATTCGACTTAGTACTTGGTGGACAAAACCCTTGTTGGCAATCACGGAGGTCAGACGTATCTTGTAGTTGGCCACCAGGTTTGCACACATCTCAGGAGGGATATTGTCCCACTCCTCTTTGCAGATCCTCTCCAAGTCACTGAGGATTCGAGGCTGACGTTTGGCAACTCGATACTTCAACTCCCTCCACAGATTTTCTATGGGATTAAGGTCTGGAGACTTGCTAGGCCACTCCAGGACCTTAATGTGCTTCTTCTTGAGCCACTCCTTTGTTGCCTTGGCTGTGTGTTTTGGGTCATTGTCATGCTGGAATACCCATCCACAACCTATTTTAATGCCCTGGCTGAGGGACAGAGGTTCTCGCCCAAGAATTGATGGTACATGGCCCCGTCCATCGTCCCTCTGATGCGATACAGTTGTCCTGTCCCCTTAGCCAAAAACACCTGTGCTAACTAGTTTCTAAATTTTGTCCTGAGTTTAGAAATGCCCAATGTTAACATGTTCTTAGCTTTTTTTGGAAAGTTATAGGGCTATAAGTACAAGTAGCACTTTCCTATTTCCAAACCATTCGTTTTCAAAATTAAGGCAAGGTACATTATAACACTGATACTTGTCAGGAATCCCTGAATAACCCTTCAAATGTAAATATTTGTTAAAAGAAAATAACCTAAGGTATTAAACTTGGGGTATTTTGACTCTTTTCATACAATTATTTTACCACCAATCTATGCCAAATTAAAAAAAAGTAAAAAATAATTGGTGATTTTTTTGACACACATCGCAATTTAAGAATACATGTACAGAGAACTTTAAAGGTTACTGCCAACGAATACCCCAATATTTGTGCAGCAACATCTCCTGAGTACAGTGTACAGGTGTGTTGTGTTCTCTGGGGGGTAAAGACCTTATTTGGAAGGTGCGCAATCCAGTCTTCCAACTTGACATTTTCTCAGCTGGTCATCATGCATCCATGTCCTATTTGGGACATTTTTGAAGCCGGCCAATGTCATTTACTCCCATCAAACCATATATTTTTGAAAAGTAGACACCCTAGGGTATTTCAAATGGTGGTATTTTAACACTTTCCATGCACTAATTCTATCACCAGTCTTTGTCAACTTTTTTTAGTGTTATTTTTCTCACATTGTACTTTACGCATGGTAACAGCTCCTGTTATGTATTACATATGTTTGCACATTGAAATTTGCCAGATTGGTTTGCCTTTAAGACTGTATAGCAGCCCAGGAATGAAAATTAACCTCATCATGGCATACCATTTGTAAAAGTAGACAACCCACGGTATTCAAAATGAAGTATGTCCAGTCTTTTGTAGTAGCCACTTAGCCACAAACGCTTGCCAAAGTTAGAGTCCATATTTGTTTTTTGCATTTTTTTTTACACAAAAACTGCACTTTTGGGGTGCGGTCTGGTTATCGACCTCAATGGCCGCATGATTGGAGAGCTCCCGATAATCCGCATGAAATTGAGCACTGGCCAGCAGCATCCACACCTAAATCCCAGCTTATATACCACAAAAATGTACCACTCAAGCTCCAGCAACAAATCCTCCCGGTAAAAAGGGTGAGAACGAAGTGGCACGATCTGTTGCAGACATGTCTTCCTCCTCTCGCACACCACAGGCCTCACAAGATGGCTGCCAGTTTAGCCTGGCGGGCTCAACATCCCCAGTTTCAATCCACGAGGCAGAAGAAATGCACCCAGACTCTGGGGACACCCATCAGATACTAACAAAACTATCCGAAGTGAAAATGTGCTTGGCACAGTAAATCCTCCATAGCTCTCAGGAGGTGAAGTTGGAGATACAGGCCCTGGGGGCACGCACGACGGAATAAGAGCACTGCATTGAGACTGTCGTTAAGTCCCACAACAGGGTGATGGGACACGCAGACTCCATGGTATAACAGTTGGATGCACTTGAAATGATGGTGGAGGACCTCTCTTACCATTCGAGACGACACAATATAAGAGTTAAGGGGCTCCCCAAAACACAGAATGAAGGCCCACTCACCCAAATAATGGTTGACTACTTTAAGCATCTGCTTCCTGAGGTACCAGAAGACAAATAGGTGGTGTACCAAGCCCACAGGGCACTGAAAGTCAGGAGGGCAGAGGGAAATGTACCTCGTGACGAGATTATCCATCCACCTTACAGCGACACAGAGAGCGGTGGGTTTTTAGCCCACTCACAGTCGCCACGAGAGTAATAATACCCCCACAGGGAACCTTGGCTGTACCAGAGGGCTAGCCTCCAAAGGATTCAAGTGGGGCGGCACTGTAAAGAGAGAGAGCAATGGAAGACAGAGGGAACCCTCAGGGAGGCCGGGTACCCGCCACCATCTTTTGTGGCCCCGGCCCATGCTGCAAACCGCCGGGGCCGCCCTCCAAGGGATCCATCGGGTGGCCCATGCTGTCAGGGCCACCTGATGGAGATGGATTGTCAGGGGGCCCGGTCAGTGCTGGGCGCCTTAACAGCGCGACCAGGCCCCCTGTGATGATGTCAGACGGAGCTGGGAGGAAGTGGCTGCACGTCACTCCTCCCAGCTATCTGACAGAGCCACACGGGAGGAAGCAGAGGAGGGAGTTAGAGTGGGAACTCTGACTCCCATCAGGCTGGGCCCACACTGGACCCCAGGGAAGTCACCCTCCTGCAAAAGGTAGGAAAGAGGAGTGTGACAAACATTTTGTATGTGTCTGTGTGTGTGTCTGTATGTGTGTGTGTCTGTATGTATGTGTCTGTGTCTGTATGTATGTGTCTGTGTGTATGTGTGTGTGTCTCTGTATGTATGTGTCTGTATCATACAGACACATACATACAGAGACACACATACATACAGAGATACAGACACACACACATACATACAGACACACACACACACACACACACACACACACACAGATAGACATGCATAGAGATGCACACACACAGACAGATTGTATGTGTGTGTCTCTGTATGTATGTGTCTGTGTGTGTGTGTGTATGTCTGTCGGGGGTGTGTGTATGTGTGTGTCTGTCTGTGTCTATATGTATGTGTGTGTCTGTCTGTGTGTGTGTGTGTGTGTGTGTATGTATGTGTCTGTCAGGGGGTGTATGTGTGTGTGTGTCTGTCTGTATGTATCTGTCTGTGTGTATGTATGTGTGTCTGTCTGTGTGTATGTGTATGTATGTATGTGTCTGTGTGTGTGTGTGTATGTATGTGTCTGTCAGGGGGTGTATGTGTGTGTCTGTCTGTATGTATCTGTCTGTGTGTATGTATGTGTGTCTGTCTGTGTGTATGTGTATGTATGTATGTATGTGTCTGTGTGTATGTGTGTGTGCCTCTATGTATGTCTGTGTCTGTATGTATGTGTCGGGGGGGAACGGATCGGTGGGGTGGGTCCACGAGTCAGTTTCACACCGGGGCCCCATGTATTGTGTGTACACCACTGCTCACCAGCCTGCATGAAATAGATGTAACAGGTACAGCGGGTTGGGGCTGGGAGCCACCGACCCTTACTGGGGAACACGAGTTTGCCAGGAGGAATAGGCTTACATCCCCGATGTGCTCTGGCAAGGTGTAAGACCAGACATTTCAAAGTATATTTGTTTTTATTAAGGACTTTTTGTTTTGAGGTCAATTTTGTTCAGTAATGTTATGTATTTTTTTTTTACCCGGCAGCACCGAGGGAACAATGACAGCACACATGCACCAATTCAGAGAACCACACAATGAAGCAACAGGGCTGATAAGGGGATCACTCCCAATACGGCACTACAAATAGGCGTTCTCATACACGAACCCCATGGCACTTAAAGTTGTCTCATTCAACGTTAAAGGCCTAAATCCGCCCAATAAGCACAGACTCCTCCTGCGAGACCTAAAAGCCAAGAAGGCCGATATTGCCCTGATACAGGAGACACAACTTTCAGTAGAGTTTATGAGGCAAGGGCACAGTGGAAGAGAGCAGGATTGGCTATTCTCATACACAAACACTGCCCCTCTCAGGTAACAGGGACACGGTCTGATCCAGAGGGACGGTATGTGACCATCAGGGGCACCCTACACTTAATTTAACATCACTGCCCTATATGCCCCTAATCACCCCCAATCCTGGGACACTCTAACCAAAATGACAAACAGTGCAGGGGGAGGGCCTAGTTCTGGTGGTAGGGGACTTCAATGCGGTTCCATGTCCGGTGGTTGACAGGAGTTCAAAACCTGACACAGTCCAATCACAAGGGAGGAGACAAATTGATGCACACGTTCCTACAAAACACCAGGCTTCTGGACATCTGGAGGCTTCAGCACCTGAGCACAAGAGATTTAACATTTTACTCAGCCCCACATGACACCTACTCTAGGATAGATAACATATTACTAAACAGTACCTGCCTAGCAAAAACGACACACTCAGAGATCAACAGTGTCACACGGTCAGACCATGCAGACTTAGCAGTCACCTTAGGCAAGCTCAGATACTCATCCAACTGGACGTGGAAATTAAATAACAGCTTACTCAACAATGAGGATATCTGTAGAGACACTACTAGGGCCCTAGGGGCCTATTTCTTTCTCAATGACACACTGGAGATAGATCCCAATCACCTTATGGGCAGCACACAAATCGGTCATACGGGGACACTTGAGAAAAATAGCCACTTATAGGAAAAAACACAACACGCAGCAAATGCAGGACTTGCAGTTCAAGTTGCGAAAAGCTGAACAACAACATAGAAGCCACCCTAACGCATCCAAACTTATAGAGATAAACGTCCTTAGACACTCCATAAAAAAATGATCGCTTTAGGGAGTGGCCCGCTCTATATTTTGGTCTAAATGGCTATTCTACAAAAAATCTAACAAAATGGACACCCTACTAACGAGGACACTTAAGCCGAGGGGAGGTTTCAAACCTATAACCAATATACAAACGGGGAGCCATAGCCACAACACCAGACGACATAAACACGTTTTTTACTAATTATTACTCTCACCTGTACAATCACACTCCCCCACACAACGGAAAGAACTCCACACACATGGAGGAACTACACACCTTGTTAACTACCACACAAGTGCTGAAAGTGAAGGGAAATGAGGCTGCTGAGTTGGAGGCATTTATAACGCAGCTGGAGGTGGAGGCGCCATCACTGCCTTGAAAAGCAACAAGGCCCTAGGCCCCGACGGGTATGACATAAGCTACTGTAAGAAATTAAAGTCCTCGTACCACAATTAACTAAATTGTATAACCATTTCCTAAAATGCAGACATGGCCCTCGCGAATATCATCCTAATTCCCAAACCAGATAGGGATGACACACTAGCCTCAAACTATAGATCCATCTTGTTGATCAATGCTGACCTAAAGATATTTGCCAAAATCCTAGCAGCTAGGCTCACCTCACTCCTTCCACATATGATTCACCCTGACAAGGTTGGGTTTATACCAGGCAGACAACTATATGAAAACACCAATTGGGGGGTGCTCACGACATGGCACATGGAAAAAGCAGGAAGGCCTTCTCTGGCACTTGCGTTAGATGCGGAGAAGGCATTCGACAGAGTCCAATGGCCATATCTTTTTGGCCTCCTGGAATCCCTTGGATTCCCAGAGCCTTATGTTACGGCGATAGGGGCCTTATACACAGGGGTGCGAGCACAAACTATAATCACTGGATCGAGAAAGATGCCATTCACAATGTGTAATGGCACCCAGCAGGGATGCCCACTATCCCCACTTTAATTTGCAATAACCTTAGAGCCCCTGCTAGCAGCCATTAGGCAAAACAAAAATATAAAGGGGGTGGCGACAGCGGGTCAACAGTTCAAAGTGTAGGCATATGCAGATGACGTACTCCTCCACCTTTCGGAACCCCTCCAGTCGCTGGAACATCTCACATCGCTACTTGAACAATATGGAACTGCATTAGGATATAAAGTTAACCTCACTAAGTCCCTAGCGATGCCTTATCACCTCTCGGCTAAATACTGCCTTAGTAGATTTCCCTCGCCCCTGACACGATACTTCGCAATAGGGAATTCCCACCGGGAATGAGCGCCAAAGACTATGGGGGGTTAGAGAAAACAGGACTTCAGAGATATATAGACCTTTATATTGATAATAAGATAATCACCTATGAACGATTGCAGGAATTGGCCCCTCTCCGTACAAGGGACTACTTCCGATATCTTCAAATTAGAGATTTTGTCAAAACAATAGCTACTACTCCCACTATATTTCTTTGAAAAGATGTGCTTAGTAGAAAAACATCCCACAGGTTTAATTTCATAACTCTTTAGCCACATTTGCTCCCAGGCCAATGAGTGGGGGCAACTCAGATACTCGGATCAATGGGAGGCTGACCTGGGTTAACAGCTTGAAGGTATAGAATGGCAGGAAATGTGGGAGGCATGTGCTAAATCATCCATATGTGTCACCTTCCAGGAACAGTCCATTAAGACCCTATTCAGATGGTACACTACCCCGGGCAAACAACATCATATGAAATTGAACCCCAATGTGCATCATATGAAATTGAACCCCAATGATGCCATGTGCTGGCATCTATGTGGAGACAAGGGAAGCTACATCCACGTGTGGTGGACTTGCCCCATGTGGTGGACTTGCCCCAAGGAATTCTGGGGAAAGGTGGTGAACCTGTGCTCTAGGGTAAAGCAGAGGCGCCTCACACTGGGCGTGCCTTTTTTCTAAGCCTACAGAGGGTCTTAACAACCCAGAACAGAATCTCGTAAACATGATTTACTTGGCGGCTCGTAGAGCAATAGCACAAAAGTGGATTAATACTGAGGTGCCCCCACTCGAGCTGGTAATCGCCAAAATCAGTGATAATTACCTTATGGATAAATTAACAGCCCAAGTGAGGAATTCGATGACAACGTTTTATAAAGTATCGGGCCAATAGAAAAATTTTGGAGTGTGACCAATAGTCATAACCTAATTGGTGCCATACATGAGCACGGCATGGAGATGCTGTGTAGGTACAGATTCTTGTGCTGCGGGTAAAGTTTCTTCTTAATTTCTTGTTCACGTCAAAATCTTGATTTCTGACGAGTAGTCCACTAACTCAGCAACAGGAGCATGGAAGGAGTGTTTCGTACCAACACGAAATCTGCCAAGTGTTGCTTAAAACAATGACTACATATGTAATGTGATATCTTGCCTACAAATAAAGAATGTAAAAAAACAAAAAAACAAACACTATTACTGGTGATTTCATCATGATAAATTTTACTGTTTTAAACACTCATATTTGTGTTCAGCGAAGTCTCCCGAGTATAACAATACCCCCCATGTACAGGCTTTATGGTGTTTTGAAAAGGTACAGGGTCAATACTGGGCTTGCCCAATTTGGTTTGCCAGATTGATTTGCTGGGTCTGTGTTGCCGTTTGAGACCATATAGTAGCCCTGGAATGTTAAATAACCCCATCATGGCATACCATTTTCAAATGTAGACAACCCAGGGTATTCCAAATGGGGTATTTCCAGTCTTTTGCAGTAGCCACTTAGTCACAAACGCTGGCCAAAGTTAGCGTTTTTATTTGTTTTTAATAAAAAATGTTTTTATTTTATTTAAATAATATATATATATATATATATATATATATAATACTTTTGTGTGTGTATATATATATATATATATATATATATAAATATATATATATATATATATATATATATATACACACACAAAAGTATTATATATATATATATATATATATATATATATTATTTAAATAAAATAAAAACATTTTTTATTATATATACATACATATATATGCACACACACACACACACACACATATAATACGTGTGTATGTATACATATATATGTAT